GAATCTTAACACATTGGAAATGTAGGTTTTAGAGAGGTATCCGTGTTAGTCTGTTTCAGCAAAATCAAAGACTCTGGTGATACTTCAAAGACTAACAAATTTATTATGGTATTATAGCATAAGCCTTCGTATAAGCATAACTCACTTCCTCAGATGCTGAAGAGAAAAAGACAGACAGAAAGGGATACAGAGATGGGATTGTGACATCACTGCTAATTAAATTAAATTAAATTAAATTAACTGATTTAATTAGCACTGATGTTTCAGTCCCATCTCTGTATCACTTTCTGTCTATCTGTCTTTTTCTCTTCAGCATCTGAGGTAGTGAGTTGTAGCTCACGAAGGCTTATGCTCAAATACCCTAATACATTTGTTAGCCTTTGAAGTGCCACTGAACTCCTTGTTGTGTTTGGAAACTTAGGAAAACTCAGCTCCCGCTTCACACTCTTTGATTTCAGTACTTTTCTACTTAAAACTAACTACCAATTCATAATCTACAGCCAATTTCTTCGTCATCAACAATTACACTAGTTATTTTATTTCCAACAGCAAAAGTTGACCACACTGGCTCATATGTATATAAACAGGACGTTAATCTGTCTACTCTGAGCTCAAAATCATGTTATTTAAAACATGATAGTTACATTTTTTCAAACCTAACTAATCTGACAAGTCTAGACAAATTCCAAGCAACTTCACCACTATGCATTTTACTCTTTCAAATGCATATTGATCTTGCATATTTATCTCTCAGACTAAACAATACCCCATTGAGGGAGGTAAGAATTATCATCCTCATTTTACAGATAAACAGACCCCGTGATTAAGTGACAAGGTCACACAGGATAGCTGGCTCACAACACAACTTAGGAATCCTGACTCTTAGTAATTCTATCCTAGACAACACAAAACTTCTGATGCAGCAAATTATTCAAATGTAAGATTTTGGGGCCAAAACTGATACATAAATATTTTCCACACAGGAGAACTCATTCCGAAAGAACTTGACAGCATTTAAAATAACAGGTTATGTTTGTACTTTGTTTTCATTTCTCTCTGGCAGCCTCAGTATAACTCAGCAACAGAATTGTCATGACCAAGATTATAGGCCATCTTTACAGCACTTACTGTTTGGGTTTGTTGTCAGTGACAAGGGGGATGATCCTAAGGCCCACATCATGAGAGAAAAGAAACAACAAAACAAGCTCCTGTTTGACCCCATTAGACATGCACTGTGCTCTTATGATTAAGACAATTTTTGTATAATATACTCCTGCAAGTGTAAATCTACACTGGCAGCAGGAAGGAGACCCTAGCATACATTTATGTAGAATTTGTCAGGCTGAAGCACCTTCTCTGCCTCTTCCAGAGGTACTGGCTGCACTTTCCCCTATATCTCCTTGTATCTGCACACCTCATCCATGGCCTAACAAAATCATGAGGTCTCCTTGTTAACCTCCTCATGACACTGGCTAAGATGGCCATCCACCAGGCCAACAGGAAGAAGCTGACCAGAGTTGGGTGTAGAGAAGCTGATTTAAAACCGTGGGTCCTGCTTCCATTCCCTTGTTGCCTTACATCGCTGGGAGATGTCCACTGACAGATGTAGCAGATGTGATTCAAGGTTCTCTGCTTAATGTCCTCTCTGAAGTCTTCATATTAGCCCCTATGACCAATCCGGTCCCTGTGTTCTCCTTCTTCTGTTCCCAGATCTTTGTTGTGGTCTAGGCTTTGTGATTGCTCCACCTTCGATCAGGGGGCGGGTTTTTAGTTCTGAGTGAGTCTACATCTGCCCATCCCAGTACATGCAGTAGGTACACAGACAACTGGCTCTTTATTTAAAAAACAAACAAACAAACAAAAAACCCCAACAACCAGATTCATCTGGGGATCAGTGTGTTCATTAAGCAAAAGACTTCAACTAAAGATTTGGTGTACATAAATATGATGGGAGGTTGGTCTGGTCCAAGCACCATCACAATGTTTTTTCAATCCATTATTGATGTATGTATTCACTCAGTAGAGCACTTGAACTCTGTAAAGGAATTTTATTATATAGATTCTTCAATTGCTGTGCTGTGGAGGGGTATGTAAGTCTGTCCTGCAATCAGAATGGGCAAAGGGAAAGGTTGGAGAGGGCCAGCTTTGCACCCCCCAGAAGTGACAGGGCCTCAGGCCATCAGCCCTTAGTGCTGCCCAGACTGTGGTTCCCCCCTCTACCCCCACTGCCATGTGAAGTGCCTGGCTGAGCTCTCTGGCAGCAATTCAAAGGGGCCCGGGATTCCAGGTGCCATTGCCACAGTAGCAGTGGCTGGGAGCTCCAGGCACTTCTGAACCACTGTATCCTGGGGCAATAGACCTCTGGCCTCCATGCAGGTGGGCTGACTGCCTGTAATGGAAGAACAACAGAGCGATACTCTTCAAAATCGACTCTATTGTATTGAAGCAGACAGTACTCAATGCTTATTTATGCTTTTCAAATTCACATACTCAAATATTTATCGGAAGCTCTTTAATCCTAAGCAACCTCATGCTTCACAAATCACTTACCTAGCTAAAATCCCACTGTCCAAGTATATTCACAAAACAGTTAAGGTAAATTATATGTGTGTGCTGCAAGAAGGTAGCAAGTAAACAACTCCTTTGCAGGGAATAATCTGGATCCTAATGAATGCACATCAAGGACAGGAAACTATAATATTTGAACAACAACTGATACAAATACTAGGCTTCTGTAATATAATTCCACTTACTCCAAGAACGTAATCAATCACGTTAAATTAAGATATGATCATGATGATGATTAATTGTGAATAGAAGGGTAAAATTACATTACAGTCAAAGGGTGGCATAATGACCTACACTACAGATGCTTCATAGTAAACGTAATAAACCACAACAGAGAAGCTTAATTAGTTTCCAGTGTCAACAGGCCCATAGAATGAATGTACAAGAACCATGGGATTGTTCACTGTTTCCTCTCTTTTTCTTAACTAAATTAAATTTATTTGTAAGCAAAGATACTGTGCTGGGATAAGGACTATTGTAGAAGGGGCTGATTTTTATTTTATGTAAGCCCCTTTACACTGCTCTAGATGTGTAAAGGGGATCTTAAAAGCGGTAATAGATCTCGCTTACACTAATTTTTAAATTATTGGGCCTGATTCTTAGTTAGACTAAGGATACATCTACACTGCAAGTTAAGATGTGACTGTAGCTTTAATCTAGCAACCAAAGGTAACAAGAATAGTGAAAAACTTATAAAACAACAAATGGTCTGGTAGCACTTTATAGACTAACAAAACATGTAGATGGTATCATGAGCTTTTGTGGGCACAGCCCACTTCTTCAGATAACCAGAGTTTTTGAAGTGGACTGTGCCCACGAAAGCTCACGATATCATCTACCTGTTTTGTTAGTCTATAAAGTGCTACCAGACCGTTTGTTGTTTTTTAAGTTTATCCTATACAGATTAACTTGGCTACCCCCTGAAGCTTCTGAACAAAAATAGTGAAGACATGGTGGCACAGGTTTCAGCATGGGTAAGCAACCTAAGTATGCACCCAGGTTCTTCAACGTGACTGTACTGGGGCAGCTGGTCTGTGCAGAAGTCTATGCTGCCCTGACTTCACTACTATGGTTACCTGTGCTAGACAGATTAAAGCCATAGGTATGCCTTCTCCTGTGCTGTAACCACACCTTCACTTGTGGCCTGGCATTGGAAGGGGGCCTTAATGTAAAATGGGGTTAAAAAACACTGCCTTGGTATGTACGTCTGTTTCATACCAAGTGTCAAATTGAATCTGACAGTTAATTATCAGAAAATGCCTGTGAACAAATGTAGTATAAACTATGCAAGTCTGTTCCTCAGCACACTTGTGCATACAGTGGTTTTCGTGCCAATAAAACTGGCGGAGTGTGAACACCAAAAGCACTTAAAAATTTAAATACATATCTCAGTTTCTTCAAACTAGCTGCCAGACCTCAAATCTCACAAGAACAGACTAGCTTGTAAAGTTTCCAACATTTCACAGAGATGTGCATCCAGGTTCCAAAAATCAGAATTAAATGTGCAGATATCTGGTGTAAAAATACCTGGTACCCTGTAGGGCATGCAGCTGCCTTTTTCCCTGCCACAGCCCACACCAGCCTGACTATAACAAAAAAAATTAGGATGTGTAAAACAGTGATCAAAATAAAAGTGTTACAAGCATTTTTCACGTCATGAAAGAAGATTCGAGTCAAGCTTTGGGTGCTAGTTTGAATACATTTTAAGAGAGAAACCTTAAACAAAACCACCATCAGCCTGAACCAAAACTATGGAAAAGTTCTACTTTGGGTCCAAGTGCCCTAACCCATTTTTAGGGGTTTTATCCACTGGTTCACTCATTTCTTATAACTCTCATTATAATTTTGGGACAAACTGGGGTTGAAACTTGAAGCCAGAGGCTGCAATTTAATATAATACTTAGAACTTTCTACAGCACTTATCATCTTCCAATGACTTTACAAACAATAAAAATAACTCTTCATCTTGATGAGGCACACCGTTAAGTACCACTGTATCTGTTTGGCAGGTAGGAGAAACTGTGGCAGAGTGGTTAAATGCTTTGTCCAAGGTCACAGAGTGACTAGTACTTCGGGGATTACTGGTACTACAGTTGTTTGGTCAGAAAACTAATCCACAAGTGTAATAACTGCCCCAAAATATTCTGCCAAGCATATATCGCTAGTCTGAAGTGGAAATTATAAATAAAACTAAGAGCAACATTCCCAAATGGAGCATTTATTGGTCATTAACCAGAGAATGTAGCAGTGATGGGCCAAGTTCTATGGGCAAGCATAACTCCATTGACTTTACCAGAGTTTTGCCAGCAGAGAATATGACCTTCCATCACCGTTACCATTCATCATGTTCCTCTGGTCAGAGTGTTCTAGGGCATTCAATATTCCTGGCTTTCAACAAGTAAATCAGACAGCCTAACACAGTTACACACAAACTTGCAAAGCTGCCAAATCCTTTGAAATTGTTATTTAAAATAGTTAACATTATTTAATCTAAGCAACACCCCCCTAGTAAAAACAAAGTAATTTTTCTTCAGTTTAGAGATGTCAGGCACCTTTCCTTTTCTGGATGATGTACCCAATGAGAAGCTGGTAAAATAACGATGGGCTTGTTCCTGAGAAATGCTGAGCACTGGCAGCTTTCTCTTGGTTTGGTGCTGGAAAGGCCCAGCCCACTGATCCCATAACAGATCAGTCCTATTGACTTCAGTGGGGGTGGAGTTATTAACAGAAAATATCCATCACTTCTGATCCATCTCATAACTGATGCTAACCTGTAGGGGTCCGTGACGTGAACTCGGGGTCAAAATGAAAAGTGTCTTCTGGCCGTCCCACAGCTGGTTTAAAAGGTGGCTTGATTTCTTTTCTGTATAGTTTCTACAAGAACAAGGATAGAGAACAATCAGGGATATAACATCATAACATAGTAGCAATCAGGTCCAAGTACAGAATTATACATGTCTTTAGCATGTCCTCTGTCAGGGGAATTATGTGCTAATCTGGTAGGGAGTGATGTGCTTGAGAATGTAGCAGCTACTTCTGCTCCTGTTGATTGGAATCTGTGTCCTAGTAAGTCTTTGCCACTTTTAATTATAATGACCCATCTATACAAAATGCATCCTTTAGCTACAGAATGGCACAATATTTCAAACTAGGTGTGCACCTGGGAATGGGTTGCACTTCAAGGTTGGGCCAAAATATTTTCTGGGGAGGGAGTGTATTAGTTTGCAGAGAGTTTCCAGCAGCTAGTGATGAGACTTTGAGACCCTGAGTTACTCCAGATAATTCTTTCCCAAGTATTTGCCTGGTGCAAGTTGCCCACATACTCAAGGTCTAACTGATTGCCATATTTGTGGTCAGGAAGGAATTTTCCCTTGGGTCAGACTGGCAGAGATGCTGGGGATTTTCTGCCTTCCTCTGCAGCATGTGACACAGGTCACTTGGAGGTTTAAACTAGAGTAAATGGTGGAATCTTTGTAACTTGAAGTCTTTAAATCATGATTTGAGGAATTCAGTAACTCAGCCAGAGCTTATGCACATATTACAAGATTGGGTGGGTGAGGTTCTGTGGCCTGTGAGGCACGGAAGTTCAGACTAGATGATCATAATGGTCCCTTGTGACTTTAAATTCTATGAAGCTATGAAATTGCAGATGGCAGTAGGAACCAAGCACTGGTGGCCTTGAAGTCTTTAAATCATGATTTGAGGAATTCAGTAACTCAGCCAGAGCTTATGCACATATTACAAGATTGGGTGGGTGAGGTTCTGTGGCCTGTGAGGCACGGAAGTTCAGACTAGATGATCATAATGGTCCCTTGTGACTTTAAATTCTATGAAGCTATGAAATTGCAGATGGCAGTAGGAACCAAGCACTGGTGGCCTTGGT